CCCTGAGGGAGGATTACTTTGTTATTTTGTGTTGCCATAAGTTATTCTCTCTCCGTTGGTGCGCGGGGCTAATGCTAATAATTAGGGCCGGGACTTTAACGCGTTAATTAAGATTAATTAATTACACAAAAATTAACGCGTTAAAAAAATTAACGCATTTTAATCGCACTTATTTTTGCACCGCGGAACGTTTCTCACTGGATGAGTTTCAGGCGTACCGATTATACTGGAGCACCAACTAACGTTCATGACTTCAGACAACAACAAACCACAGTGAAGTGGGAAATGTTGTTTTAAAAAACGGACGGATGGAAGCGTCGATAAGAGCACGGTTGTGTGCAAATTATGCAAAACGGAATTCGCATATCACCGCAGCACATCAAGCCTCAAGTATCACCTCAATGCAAAACATATAGCAGCTAGCGTGGAAGCTAGCGTGGACGTTAGCCTCTTTTATCGCGTTCACACCAAAAAGAGCTGGTACTAAAATTAGTTAATGAGAACCTTTTTACCCCCACGAAAGTCCCTGCTAGAGAGCAGAGAGCTGCTAGAGAGCAGGGACTTTCGTACGGCTCTCTTGTGAGAAAAGAGCTATATTTCTGATTGGCTGGGCGGATTGCAAACCACGCCCCGTAAAACTCCCAAAACGTTTTGTGAAGCCGCCATTTTATTATCCTCGCATTAGCATTATTAGTATTAGCCCAGCGCAGAAACGCAGAGAGACTAACTTATGGCAACACAAAATAAAACATGGGAGCGGTGGAGATGAGGAGGTGTCGGCGTTCTGGCGATTTACTCGGAAGGCTGCTGGGACTCCCAGCAGCTTCTACTGAAGCCAGTCCCCAACTCCGGGGACTTCCGGCCGGGGACTTTGGGCGGCAGTATACGCCGTGAAGTGATTTGCGGCCTGCCAGTAAACCCAAAGCAGAAGAAGAAGAAGTGACGTCAGCGGCTTCATTTGCCTAATCCAGCCCCAGGTTCAAAGAGTTCTCATGAACCTTTGTGGGAAAAGTACTGCGGTGTGAATGCGCCTAATGGTATACTAAAATCCATGTGAAAAAAAATTGCTTCTCACTGTTCTTAGGTCAAATATGTATATGCGATTAAAAATGCGATTAATTTCGATTAATTAATTACAAAACCTCTAATTAATTAGATTAATTTTTTTAATCGAGTCCCGGCCCTACTAATAATGCTAATGCCAGCAAATACAATGGCAGCTTCACAAAACTGTGCAGTGTTTTACGGGGCGTGGTTTGCAATTCGCCCAGCCAATCGAAATTGGTACTTTTTTCTCCCCAGGATAGTCCCACCTCTCTAGCAGGCACTCAAAATGGGGGTAAAAGTTCTCGGAACTAAGCTCTCTTTTTGGTGTGAACGCAAAATTCCAGGCACTATCGGAACTAAACGGGAAAAGTATGGGGAAAAGTACTCCGGTGTGAACGCGCCTATTGTGGTAAACTTAAAGGGGCCCTACTCTGCTCATGTTCAGGTTCGTAATCGGGAGGAGATACTCCCTCTGGAGGGAACACAGGGATTTCAGCTTTGCAGACCATTTAGAACACACTACAGGAAAGGAAACCAGAATAAACATAATATGGCCCCTTTATCACACCGTATAAACAGTATTTCCAACTCTGGATTAATACATGTAACAATATTTGTATATAGAAATTGGTCCTTGTGCACATTTAAAAAAAAAAAAATTAATTTAGGTTTTGGAATCTTCCTGTCATTCAATCCATAACTACGTGCTGTGTTTAGGTTCTAGTGCTGTGTTTTGTGTTCACGCCTAGACTACTGCAACTCCCTCCTGGCTGGTCTACCTGCATGTGCCATCCGACCGCTGCAGCTCATCCATAATGCAGCGGCTCGTCTGGTCTTCAACCTTCCTAAATGTTCCCACACCACGCCGCTCCTCCGCTCCCTTCACTGGCTTCCGGTAACTGCTAGAATCCACTTCAAGACAATGGTACTTGCTTAACATGCTGCGAATGGATCTGGCCCTTCCTACATCCAGGACATGGTTAAACCGTACACCCCAGCACGTGCACTACGCTCTGCATCAGCCAAACGACTCATTGCACCCTCGCTGCGAAGGGGACCCAAGTTCCCATCAGCAGAAACACGTGGGTTTGCTGTCCTGGCTCCAAGATGGTGGAATGAGCTCCCCATTGACATCAGGACAGCAGATAGCTTACACACCTTCCAGCGCAGACTGAAAACTCATCTCTTTCGACTCCACTTCGAGCGTTAGAACTATTAACAAAGCACTTATATACTAATAAAGGACTGGCTTATCTAAAGCCAGTTGAGTAGCACTTGAAATGTTTTTGCTCTATGAAGCCTAATGTACTTATATGATTCTGTTTTCTTCAAGGTTGTGTCTTCCTGGTCGAATGTACTTATTGTAAGTCGCTTTGGATAAAAGCGTCAGCTAAATGCAATGTAATGTAATAATGTAATGTAATGTAATAATGTAATAATGTAATGTAATAATGTAATGTAATAATGTAATGTAATAATGTAATGTAATAATGTAATGTAGTGCACATACAGTATCTCTACATTGAGATCAGCACCCTGGACAGCGACTGTGATGACACATTTTTTGCTGTTTTGATAGTTTCAAAAGGAAATGTGAAGAAAAGTGATAATATGTGCTGAGTTAGGACTAGTATTCAATTTAGAACTTGATTTAGGTTTATTAGATTTCAAAATGTATTCGATTTTTGAGTTTGTGTATAGGTGTTACTATAAAAAAGACAATTCAGTATATTTGTTGTCATGTCTGTTTCTTTTTCCTGTATGCATAGCAATTTGAGGTTTCAACTTGTACTACCTGTGTTGTGTACAGCTACCAATGTTACAAGTGTCCTTCTTGTCTATTGCAAGGTTAGTTGAAAAACAAAGTCCCCATGCGACTGTGCAATAAAGAAACAGACAGAGTGTCCTCGGGGTTCATTGAATACAGTATGGGCACATGCAGCTACCACACGCACCTCTTTGGCCAGTCTGCGGGCTTCATAGTAGGGCCGTGCTTTCTCGATACAGGCACCGAGCTGGGAGCCCTGAGCATTGAGCCTCCTGGCAGAATCAGTGAGGATCCTCCTGTAGCTGGACCTGGCCTCCTGCAGGGAGCACACACACAGACAACACACCACATGTCACATTCACTACAATAAACAGTCAATAAACAAACACTACACAAACAACTTCCTCACATCCAGCTGCAGCTCCAGCTTGTTGATCTCATCACTGGCTTGGTTAAGTTGCTCCAGCTCATCCTGGAACCAAAAGGGGAAATTAATATTAAAAACATATGTAAAAACAGTACAGAAAAGCTGGACAGATGTCATAAACTAAGCAATGATTAGGAGTTCAGTGTGGGCACAGAGAGGCTGTCCATGCTGGGTACCAGCCTGTGAGAGGAGCAGGCTGGTGCAGTGTGTGCCCATGTTTATTACGCTTCGCTTAGTTCATATGCAGAAGGTTAATGATATATAACTAGCTATTCTGTGAAAATAAAACTACAGTAGCCTATCTCTAATAGCTATGTCGGTAAAAATGATTACTGTGTAACATGCCTGAATTCTCGGGTCCAATTCCTCCTCCCCTCCGGTGTTTCTCTGGTGCTCCGGTTCGTTCTCACAGTCCGCTTCCATCTCCTCCGCAGGCTCTACCTCCGCTCCTCTCCGCCTCAACATGCCGCCTCTCGCCTCTTCCCCCGGGGTCTCCTCCCGAGGACCGGTCGGTTCAGGGAACCCCGAGCCGTTCGGGATTTCACGCGACGTCCCTGGCTCCATTTGCGGCCTGTGCCGGCTGCCGTTTAAATAGCGCTAGCCTCCTGGCTCCACACGGTGTTAGCGGTTAAGCCACTGGAAACATGCCATTTAAAAACTATTAATACTTTTAAAATTCAAATGTCACGCTGATCTTGATATATGAAATCCTTTACATGCTAATGCTAGCAAACACGTAGCCTGGCTGCTTTAGTATAGGAGCTCGTGAGACTAACAGTGACACCCCGCAATTATCTTCTTGGGGGCTCTTATTCCGTTTACCCCCTTACACAATTTGATATGTTTGTTTTCATGTGTGGCTGTTTTTATGTAGCCTACTAACTTATTTCGTAGATGTCAAATACAATTTAGTCTGTTGCCAGGGGGTCCCTGAACTGATTGCTGCCCCCCCCCCCCCCCCCCAATACTGACCATGATTGTTGAAATTTAAAGGGCTGTACTACATGATTCACAATACTTAATAATCTCAATATTTTTAAATAAAATAGAAAATAAAAAATGTCCTGCTTGCAACTACTTTACCACAAGATGATACGTTTCAAGCCAAGTTTCAAAGATAACCATTTTGTTTATGTGGTATTGTTTAAGCATTGCTATCTTTGCAAATCAATAAAATGTCATTCTTAAAGATCCTCCAAACTCACAATTGCCATACTATTCACTCAGTAGTTGCAGTGACATACTTCACAAAGCCAGCCGGCGGTCCCAATATTTTTTATTATTAACATTTCAGTGTGGCATTGCCTATTTATTTGTACCTGTTAACTCATAACTACATGTGTGACATCTTAAAATTAAAATAAATCACAACTGAAATATCAAATTCCTGATTTTCTTCTGAAACGTGTTCCTGAGTAAAGGTCCTAATTCAATTCTTTGTCTGAAACTCTACTTCTGCTGTCTTTGGGATGCCATGTGTCAAAGTGCTAGTGTAGTGTTTCATTATTATAAAACCAGAATGCTTAAAAATATTGCAAAGAAAACCACATTTTATATAACTGAATAATTGAAGAGAAAGCAAAATACAAATGACTAAATATGTTCCATAGAGGTCAAAGACTCCACTTGTTACTCGTTAAATCAAATGGGCAGAATATATCATTCATATTGATACATTGATTTTTGCAAAGGATATAAGGCAGTATTTTAACTTGGGTTATCTGCAAATGAGTTCTCAATAAGGAAATGAGCAGAGGATTTGAATCCACACTACATGGAAGTCAACATTTTATGAAACATACAAAATAAGTACATCATCTCCACTTTCCTCCAACAGTGCCAGAAATAAACAACTGCGATTCCAGACATCCTCGCGGTTTCACTTCCTGCTGCTACGTGTTGGACTTCTGTCTTTTCCAGAACCTCTTCACCTCGCTGTGTCCCTGTGGACTCACCACCAGCACCCTGTGAGCCACGTCCTGCCACACCAGGCATCCCATGCCCTGCAGAGGAACAGCAGCATTAACACCAACAGCATCAGCACATACACAGCTCATCCAACAGGTAACTACTGAAGGAGTGAATACATGTTGAGTGGGTTGAAGGGGTCAGGAGATGGAGGTATTGGAGCTATAGCAGTGACTGACTTTGTTGAAAGTGCACACCCGATGACCCTTTATGTGGAAAGGTTTCTAATGTATTATTTCAACACATAACAAATCACTTTTAGGTTAGTTGAAAGCAATAATATTAGTTAATTTAAACTTAATAGTAATGCTTTCAACTAACCTAATACAGTTATGTGAAATCTGATGACATTTATCAAAGTCAATGTTTCAGTGTTTCAGTGTAGAAGTGTAGAAGTGTAGAAGTGTAGAAGTGTAGAAGTGTAGAAGTGTAGAAGTGTAGAAGTGTAGAAGTGTAGTGTGGAGCGTTACTTTACAAATGTATTCTGTTACAATTACTAGTTACCTGTAAGAGAACGTAATCAGTAACCTAATATGAGCATTCAAATATAAAAGTCATTTGATGACTTTCAATATCAAATGTAATGCAAAGGTACAGTTTGCAGAGAAGGAATAACATCTGATCCTTTACAACAGACTCTATTTTGACTAACACTGTAATCCTGCTAGTAATCTCCGTGTTTAGAAATGTAACAGTAATCTGATTACATCTTTTGTTATGTAACTGTAACAGAATACAGTTACCTTTTTTTTTATCCTGAATACTTCACATTTCATTTGTTACTCCACAACCAACAGGCTAAACACAGTGAAGAGTGATGTTGTGATTACTGAGCCTGCTCTCAGGTGAGACTGTGCCAGCTGATGGAGTTTGCCTTAATCAATAAACAATCTTAATGAAATATTAAAAGCTTTCTGAACGTCTGAATACTCATCTCTTTTGCCCTATCGATTTATTTGTAGTGATGATGCCACATCTATGCCACAGCAATTACTCACTGATGTACAGTGTTAGGGCTGTTGTCCAAAACTAAGGCCTACAAGTAAGGATGAGTTTTCTCTAAAGCAGCCTATTATGCTTTTGGGTTTTCTCTTTCCTGGAGTGTGTTCTATATGTTGGTGTGCAAAGGCTCAAAGCCCTGTGTTTCTCCAAAGGGGGTTTCTCTCCCACACACTATATATCAGTGGTCTATAGTATTAACAAGGTGTACAGCAGAAGTTATCACTGAGAGCAGGACAGAAAAGAATGTCACTAAATCTAAACTGATTATTAAATCAATATTGTGCTCTTCAGTGTCAGATATGAGAGCGTAACTAACCTGAGCTCTGTCCCGCAGCACCTCGAAGTCCACCTGCGAGAGGAACTGGTTGTAGAGCACTCCTGACGGAGAGGCACAGGGGAGGAAAGAGGTTAAAGATCAGCACAAGGTCGACACTCATCATCTCTATACTGTGTACCACAGCTCAGTTACAGCTCCACTCTGTAGACGTCAGTCAGCTCACATGCACTTCTGTTGAACCCCATTTATCAAATATAGACCTTTTCTACAGGACAAAGGAACGTTTGACAATATCACTGAAGCTGCAAAGAGAGTCGATTCTCAAATCAAAGCCAAATAATGTTAGGCCCTTAACAACATACACAACTAAAGGCCATCCACTGATAAAAGCATGGTCACTAACCTGCCAATAGTACACATTGTAAAGCCTGATTCAAAGCGGTTCAATCGGGCTGGGCAGCCACGGCACCTATTCCTACGCTGTTCAAAACTGGGTTGAAAATACGTGCTGCATATCAAATCAAGCGCTCCCTTAACTAACAGCGATTGATATATTATGACTTTTTGGAGAGCCGTCATCCCGACGCAGCGACACGTAATCAAAACATTTGAATCATTCCTGTGATTTTTTCATACTGCCAAAAAAGTAACATTGCCAGGTTTTTTTCTAACACGGTGCAGCCTTCCTTTTTACGTTCCAAGGGTGGTAGCACAACACTGAGCTGAAGGCAAGGCTCTTTTTCATCAAAACCTTTAGAATCATTTCAGCCATAGTTGTGTAAGGAAGATGGTGAACTCACCCTCTGTGAACGTCAGGCGGTCTCTCTCCAGCTCCCACAGTCTGATCTGATCTGTGATGGTGGGGGGCAGCACCGGTGTCTGCAGCACAGGGGGGGGTGAACACACTGAGCCAATTGTATGGTGCTTCTGTACTGCTTTAACCTGTGTCCAGTTTCGTAATCGTATGTTTCATTTGAGTGTGGTTATATTAGCATTTCCTGTATGGTAGGACTCTATTTGGCTTGTTTCTGAGGATTAACTGGCTTTATGGTGACTTTGCAACATCTGTCTAAGGACTACAGATTTTTTTAAAAGCCTCTTGGTGCATTTACAGCAATGCTTATAAATGCGTCACTGTTCAATAAACTGGTCAATTAAATAAATGAAAGGCCAACCACTTAGTGTTATAATTATTAGAAAGAAGTGTGAGGAGAGCAGATTGGATGCATGTACCTGTTTGAGCATGACAGGGTGCGCTCTGGTCCGTAGGAAGTGGATAATCTGAAGAGAGAAAAGACTTCACATAAATCTGCAATCCCAGTCAAGATCCCCCTTGATTACCTGACCCCCCACATCTGTAGTAGACCATTGTGTGCAGTATGTGAGTACCTGTTGTGCTGTGATGCCGTTGGCGATGGCTTGCTGCACTGACTCCCTTGTTACCTGGGCAACCACGACGTTGGGGAAGCGATAGAGCATCTCGCTGAAGAGAGCCACCAGAGCGATCTGCAGCTCTGAGTCTGTAACAGTCACAGATCTGTTAGTCTGCACACTGCTCTGCGTTCTGATCAAACACACAGAGCAGGGAATACATGCTGGTACACTTTACATGTGTTGGTATGAGTGCTGTTCAACATTGGGCAATACAAGGCTATTGTTGTGTCTCTATATACGTCTGTACGTACATTTGCCTAAGGGCGCCCCAATGTGAAGTATGGCCAAATGCACTTTGATCACCCGGTGCACTAAAACTCTCAAAAGTTACTTTGCACTCTCAATAGCCATATTGGCTACACACTGCAAGTGGCCCTAACAGCTGCGACCGTTAACATGGTGTGATTGTGAACACAGCACCAAACTAATAAAGGTTTTTTCACTATTTACTAGACCGACTGGAGAACTGGGTGGGACTTTCGGAAACAGTTCTGAATTGGTTTGAATCCTACTTAAAGGACAGAAACAACTTTGTTTCTATAGGTAAATACACATCTGAGTTGACAAATATGACATGTGGGGTTCCTCAAGGCTCCATCTTGGGGCCTCTTCTCTTTAACATCTACATGCTACCACTGGCTCAGATAATGAAGAACAACAAAATAAGTTACCATAGCTATGCAGATGACACACAAATTTACGTAACAATTTCACCAGGAGACTATGCTCCAATTCAAACACTGAGTAAGTGCATTGAACAAATCAATGACTGGATGTGTCAGAACTTTCTCCAATTAAACAAAGATAAAACTGAGGTAATGGTTTTTGGAGCCAAGGCAGAACGTATACAAGTTAGCGCTGAGCTTCAGTGTGCAATGTTCAAAACAACAGATAAAGCCAGAAATCTAGGTGTAGTCATGGACTCTGACCTGAGTTTCAACAGTCACATTAAAACTGTTACTAAATCAGCCTACTATCACCTAAAGAATATATCTAGGATTAAAAGACTAATGTCACAGCAGGATTTGGAAAAACTTGTCCATGCTTTTATCTTCAGTAGACTGGACTACTGCAATGGTGTCTTCACAGGTCTCACTAAAAAATCTATTAGGAAGCTGCAGCTAATTCAGAACGCTGCTGCTCGAGTCCTCACTAACACTAAGAAAGTGGATCACATCACTCCAGTTCTGAAGTCTTTACACTGGCTTCCTGTGTGTCAAAGAATAGATTTCAAAATACTGCTGCTGGTTTATAAAGCACTGAATGGTTTAGGCCCAAAATACATTTCTGACCTCCTGCTAAATTATGAACCATCCAGATCTCTCAGGTCTTCAGGGACTGGTCAGCTTTCTGTCCCCAGAGTCAGAACTAAACATGGTAAAGCAGCGTTCAGCTATTATGCTCCAAATATCTGGAACAAACTCCCAGAAACCTGCAGGTCCGCTGCAACTCTGACTACTTTTAAATCCAGGCTGAAGACTTTTCTTTTTGTCGCTGCTTTTAATTGAACTATTCATATCTTAGACTGCACTGTAACTTTTATCCATGTACTTTTTTCTTTTAATGTTTAATTGACAGCACTGTAACTTTTATCCATGTATTTTTTCTTTTAATGTTTATTTTATTAGCTTTTCTTTTTAATGACTGATTTTAAATGCCATTTTCTTAATCTCTTTCATTTTTTGTAAAGCACTTTGAATTGCCTTGTGTTGAAAAGTGCTATATAAATAAACTTGCCTTGCCTTGCCTTGCCTTGCCTATTTTCCAAAAATACATTACTGGTGTTCAAATAAGGCTGTGTCATATTATTTGGTAAATTGAGCAGACTTTTTTTAATGATTTGGTAGTGCAAATATTAAACCTTTCTAACTAGCAAGCTAGCTCACAGCGTCAATCATCACTTCCTGTGAGGAAACTGAACACTTCACAGTTGAAATTCAAACACTGGCGCGAGTGTTCACAGTGTACAACATAACAGTGTACTAAGGGAAGTATTATAGCAGTGTCCCCCACATTAGCTTTATGCTAAGTCAGTGGTTCTCAAAGTGGGGGGCGCAGAGGCATGACAGGGGGGGGCGCGAGAGACCAGGAGGAAAAATGGTTATTAAAAAAAAAAAGAAATCATATTTTGAAAAATTATTGATTCGAAAATAATATGATACAGTACTATTACGTCTGGGTCTCTGTGTTTCATTAAAGCTCGGCTCTGTGTGTGTGTGTGTGTGTGTGTGGAACAAGCCATTTTGTGTACGTGCGCGAGCGAGAGAGAGAGATAGCGCACCGGTACCGGAGATCGTTGATGTTAGCTTCTGGTGCTAGCGAGCTACGCTAACGGATATAAGGAGTTTTTTCAACAACAAGGTGGAGGAGAGTCCTCTCCTGTGAGACTGAGAGACTCAGTGAGCTAAAGGACTCTCAGTGTTATCTCAGTGGGTCTCAAATGTTTTGGTCACCATTAATGTAAACAATTATTTCTGAGGCACACATTTATATGATCATTATAGTTATAAAAAAATAAGAGAATAAATGAAAAACAGGTATGAAATACTATATGACAGTAAAACAAGAATAAAGTTTAAAAGGGTGATTTGTAAAATATCCATAAAGAAAAAGTAAATCTGTTTCCAGTTCTGTTTCATATGGGTGTTGAGAGATGTATCCATAGATCTCTTCATGTTGCTCTCAAAGTGCACCAGATTGATGCTTTTAACTTCAATATTTAAAAATCTTCCCGGGGGAGCATGCCCCCGGACCCCCCTATGTGAGGTCCACACACCACCTATAAAAATAGCACTTGACCCCTGCTTACACCTATATGCCGTGAGCTGATTATCGAGCCTTCATGGTAACTGTCGCGGGTACGCTGTGTGTATGCGTGGGGAGTGTTGCAGGAGAACATTCCACTGTAGCGCTGGTGCATTAATGGGAAACCCTAAATGTTTGAGCACCCTCTATGAAACGTCAAGCTACCCCACAGCACCCCCAAAATAAATCTCTGGCGGCGCCACTGAGCCTGACTATTTGTGTTGGGGGGGCCCGACTTTTTTTTTTCTCCAAAGGGGGGGCCTGACAGAAAAAGTTTGAGAACCACTGTGCTAAGCTAACCATGTGCTGACTTCGGACCCTCAAACACACATATCAGAGTGATGTTCATCTGATGATCTCATTCTCAATAAGAATGCAACAGTTGAACCTTCTTTCACGTTGTATATCTTGATAGTTTTGTAGTCACTGGTTTTAATAATCTAACTGTGGTGCGGTTCACCTGTTTTTTGTAGTTATGTAGAACTACATCCAGCGGCTTCTCGTATTAATATATATATGAACCTCTCAGCCTTCTTAGGAGTGATTTCATATGAACCTTGTGTAGATGTAGTTGTTTGTGTTAACAGCAGTGGCGAACCGTCAGGGCCTTCAAGGTATGCAGAGAATACCCTGGAACACTCAGATAAAACAAACAAAAAATCGATTTAATTATATAAATAACATGAATAAATGAGAATGGTATCTGTGTTGTTGATCTGTAATATTACAGTGTTACGTTGATTTGTTTGTCCTTCTCGGACCATGCACTACGCATTTCAGTGGTTTTGTGTTAGAAAAGAAAGCAACCAATCAGATCTTGTTCTGGGTCTCTGGGTAGAATATCCTTCAACAAGGTATTCTACATCCTTGATAGAATGCCCTGGCCGTTGCACTGAATGAGAGCGTACGTTTGGACTGACAGTTTGATCAACCAATCATATATTGATTTGTAGCCAATGGGCGTATTCTTTCAGAGTTCCCCTCGGTTCCAGGGTCCTCTAGAAGGCCCCCTAGTTAACTGGCTCGAGACAGAGGATCTAGAACGAATGCCACGAAGCAATTCATGCCGTTTTATTGTTTTTAACGTTGAAATGACAAGTGCAACAGGTGGAGATGAAGTTGTTGCGGAACTGTTGTGAGTACCCTTTTCAAGAAGACAATTCTGTGAAAAGACGGACATTATAATGCCGCGGAGGGGGAGGGGGTGTGTGTGTCTAGTGATAGACACGGTTCGCCACTGGTTAACAGGCATCACAAACATCTTCCAGTGATCAGACATACCTGTGTATGCGTAGAGACGGTAATTGGTTTCTACGACGATGAAGCCTGCGTCTCCGGTCCCAGGCGTGGCCAGGGTGGAGGAGGTGGAGGTGACCCCTGCAGCCAGCGTGATGGCCAGTCTGGTGGGGTAGTACCGCCGCGACTTCCTCTGATAACCACACACAGAAGAATCACGTATGGTACACTAAACTGACACCGTATACACTAAGCGTGACTAAATGCAATATATCTAAACAAAACCACTCATTTCTAATTCTCTCAGTTTCATACACACATGACATTATCTTGGCAAATTATTGAATTTTGAGAGCATATTCATTGCAAATGGATACATCCAAAACATTAGTCAAATGGTGAAACCGATAACTAATTATTCCTGCTCACTGCTCACTGCTTTACTAAGTAATCGAAAGCTGACCGATGATTCGTTTCCCAAGCTAAGAATCCATGCCCGACCACCTTAGTAAACCTTATTGCTAACTGGGCCTGATTCAGCTGTCTGTTGAACACAGCGATCATATCTTACATTTACTGCAAGCCTCCTAGCTATGTGGAAATATGACGCCTTTAAATGTATATACATGTGTTCTAGTTGTATTACTGTATATTTATCCCATGGCACTTTTCATTTGCCACAGTCAGCTGATATTGCTATATACTGTATAATACACCAGAAAACAATACAATCTTTCATATTTGACCATGTTCAGTCTGAATGCAGTTAACTAATGATGCCCAATCCGACAACTGCTTATGTTTTTATAAATATTCTATGTACAGTATATTCTATCTGTAACAAAACCCAATTTGACCGCCTCCTCATGAGGATGAGTGAGATGAGACTGGGGGGTCTGACACAGTGGTAGTGGCTGCTCCCTCACCTTCCTCTGGAACACCAGTCCGAACTCCCTGAGGTGCTGCAGGAAGGTCAGTAGCGAGTCGCTCATGCCCTCCACCGAGTAATCCTGAGACACAGGAAACACACCGTCAGTGACAGGAAGCTCACAGTGAACAGCAGGAATATTAAAAGTGTCAGCATCAAACACTCACTCTGCCCAGAGTGGAGAAGCTGAGCTGGAACAAGAAGGACAGGATCTCCACCAGCTCCATGCCTCGGGACTGCAACACACCACAGGGTCACACAGGGGCAGATCATAACCAGCATGGACGAATAAACCCTGGACAACCAACACTGACAGAGATTGGAAGTACTGGAATATCTCAAATACTAATTCAACTTAATGTACATTTTCACAGTCATACTTCTTTCCACCTGAATACGGTCACTGAAGCCCAACACTTCCTGCAGATATTTGACTTAAAGGACATATGTTCCTTTATTTTCTTTAATAATTGTAGTCTGATAACTTACTTTGTAAAATATATATTTTTATTGAAGGTTTTTGGAAGAAATCAAACTTTGTAACTTGTTGAAATGCTTACTGTTTCAAACCCCCACTCACAAAGTCAAACTGAAATGATACACACAACTTACTTTGTTAAATACATTCCTTAACATACAGGTTTAAATGCTGTTCCAAAAACTCCACTCTGCCAGAAATACAATTTGGTTGTAAAAGGTAATAACAACGTTACTTATCTATTCATTTTCCTGAAAGTAGTGAGGTTTGAAAACATGGGTTTTCTTTTCTCTACACAAAGGACTAAGATGAATGGATCTGAAGCTGTTTAAATGGTCCTCAGTCAGTGGTTTATCCATTAGGCAGTTCAGCCCACTTTGTTTGCATTTCTTTCAAATTCATTCGTTATTTCTTTGCTCTAATTCTTCATTCTTCAGGCTTATAAAAGGCCATTAAGCAGAGTCTGGTAGCAAGATGTGATCCTTGATGGTACATGAGTGATAACCACTGGTTGAAGTAGTTAAAGGGAACCAGGTCAGAGTATCAGAGGACACACAGGTACCTGGGCAGTGTTCAGGTACTGGAGGGTGAAGTACCACAGCTGAGAGGCGGTGTCCAGCAGGAGGAACTGGAACCCAGCGGAGGTGATGTAGGGCGCCTCGCCGGCCTCACTGACACACACACACACACACACACACACACACACACACACACACACACACACACACACACACACACACACACACACACACACATTCACACCACACAACACACACACACACACACACAACACACATCACATCACACACACACACACTACACAACACACACACACACACACAACACACACACACACACACCCACCACACACCACACACACACACACACACACACACACACACACACACACACACAGATAATGTTAGGTGTGAAATTTACCCTGCCTGCACGCTGTTAAAACCCCAGTCATAATTTAGTTTGAATGAACATGTGTTCCTGAAATAACAGTGTTTGACAGGCAGAGCCGCTTTAAAAGTAGTGTATCAGTACTTGATATGCAGCCAACACTATACATCATGAATATTGAAGTAAAAAGAAAGCTGACAATATACTTTATATACAATTATATATTAACACATGGAATAGACAAACATTTTTGACTTGAATCAGTTGCACCTCTTCATGAGGCCGGCCTGTACGAGCAGCAGGGCGATGTCCTGGCTGACGGCGGCCCCGGGGGAGCCCACCATGAACTGCAGGATGACCTCCCAGCGCTCCATGGCGTAGCGGTCCAGACTCAGGATGTCCCGCGCGTGGCGGTCCGGACCCAGAGAGCTGCCCTCATCCGCCCACGCTTTGCCCCTGCAGGACACAGCAGGGGAACCCCACACTGAGTTATTTCTGAGAGTACTGCAGGTCAGTCTAATGTCTGTTTGGCTTAATAATACAATATTAAAAGCACCTACCCGCCCAGCAGAGCGATCCTCAGGTTGTCTTTGAACACTGGATTTAAAATATATCCCTGCAGACCCCCCTGCAGCTGCTGACTGTGCCACAGGCGGAGTCCTGCCAACACCGACACACACTCATCGTGATCCCTGCAGGAAAGGAGACACACACACGCACACACACACACACACGCACAATGAGCTGAACTGGTTTTTAGTCCACAGTGTGCCTCCAACTGAAGAGGTGATTTAAAAAGCTGCTAACCCTACAGGGGTTGGCACACAAAGTAACAGTGAGTGGTTCTGGATTGTTCTGCTCTGAAGTTGTCTTATATCAGAAGCTGTTGTCACATCAAAGAGTCCTTAAGATTCACACAGTGAGGAGTAGATTGTACATTTGAGTCAAATGTAGTACTGACCTAGGGTCTGTACTCTTTCAAACAGTCTGAATTGAGGTAGAAGAATCAGTATCATGGGGGAAGTTTGATTGTTGTACCTCTAAGTCATCCTGACTAGTAAAACTCCATCCAATCCCACTTTATAAGCTGCTAGAGGTGTGTTAAAGATAAGGGTACCACTTTACAATAAGACTACCCTTATAAAGGGTTTACCAATAGTTTGTAATTCATGTATTCATTAGGTTGTGAACACTTTATAAATCATGAATAAGCTTTTATAAGACATGAGATAAACAGGGCGACTGTGACTGGTTGCTTGCCAAATAGTGAGCCCACATGTATCTGTACTGCTAAACCTTATATTGGCTACCTATTACTTCATCTTCTTCATCAGCCAGCATCCTTGGTATCTGTTGTTCACTCAGTTGATTCTCGCTAAGTAGCCAATATAAGGCTTAGTCATCTTGCCAAATAGTGAGCCTGTGTTGATGTATGAAAACTATGTTAGAACTGGTTCATAAATGGTTCATAAAGTGTTTACAACCTAATTATAAACCCTTTATGAATCCTTTATAAGGGTAGTCTTATTGTAAAGTGGTACCAAGATAAGTAACTTACTTCTGACTGTCTATTTTCACCCATAACGCCAGAGCTGCCTGTGGGAGGGGCTGATCCAGGAACAGCATGCGCATCACATAGTTCTTGGCCAGAGAGGGGAGTTCCCTGTGAAGATCAGACACAACATGAAGGGGTCACACACACATGAAGGGGTCACATGTCCACATCAGTACATCAGCTGCCGCCTCCTACCTGTACACAGCCAGGCATGTGGCCGGGTGGTCGTACAGTCTGTCCAGGACCTCCGGGCTCAGCTCCCTCAGGTACTCATGCAGGTTCTTACACTGCAGCTGGACCCGCAGCTTCATTATCTAACAGAGAGCGGGGTCCTTAAACGCGTGGTTTTGTTTAGCCCTTAGCGTACATAGGGATCGAACTACATGTGACAGAGGAGTTATTATTCTATCAATACACCCTTTGATTCAGTACACGTAGGCATATGTTTACGCATGTTTTATTTAAGTGTGGCAGTTTGTTAACAGCTCATTCTGAAATGTTACATTCATGACACTCGCTCACAAATAAAGCTACTACTGTTGAAAACAGCCCTGACATAAGCCTCGTTATTATATGGATGTAAAATTAATTAATTACCGTGCAGACGGATATCAATTATCAACGAATACCTGACAATAAAGTGCATTTACTGAACTAAATAACTGCATTGTTGTCACTCGGCATTTCTTCGCTGTGTGGCCATGTTTCCGGATATATTCTTCTTCGGCTATTTCTAAGGTCATAGGGCGCAGTCTCGCCACCTGCTGGACTGAGTGGACATAGCAGAGATAGGAATGTATGAATTCTCAATTAAAAAAAAGGGACAAAACGCCATTCATCATGTGAGATTCATTCCACCAATATGTTCTCTATAGTCCGATAGAACAACACACATGATCAAAACATAAACAGATGTACAGAAGTTAAATGTTACATCTGCACATGCACATCTGTCTAACACTAACCAGTCAAATACTTTAGAACTGTTTCACCTGATGTTTAACTGTGCCATGGTTAGTTTGGAGTGCTGTGTTATACTGATGGTGTTTCCTGCATGACAGTTGTAGCCTATTAGAGAAGACAGCATTTGTTTTAGCTTTGTGTGCCTACAAATATTAAAACTCCCTTTATTGTTTTCCCTTAAAAGCACTGTTGATTTAACATTCCTTTTAATTAAAGAATTAAACACGTCCGCAACCGAGACCCAAGACGAGTAGATCCCCAGGGTCTATCAGTCATGTTGCAAATTAGGGAAAAATATGTAGTCAAACATTTGGGGGGGGGGGGGAATCAACAATTTAGGGAGGCTTGGAAAATGTATTAAAACAAAATAACTTTTTACAGGTTAATGCAGTGGTTCTCAAAGTGGGGGGCGCGCCTACCCCAGGGGGGCGCAGAGGCATGACAGGGGGGGCGCGAGAGACCAGGAGGAAAAATGGTAATTAAAAAATAAATTTAAAAAAAAAGATTAAAAAAAAGAAAAAATCATATTTTGAACAATTATTGATTCGAAAATAATATGATACAGTACAGTACTATTACGTCTGGGTCTCTGTGTTTCATTAAAGCTCCGCTCTGTGTGTGTGTGGAACGAGCCATTTTGTGTGTGTGCGTGAGAGAGAGAGAGCGCACCGGTACCGGAGATCGTTGTTGTTAGCTTCTGGTGCTAGCGAGCTACGCTAACGGATATAAGGAGTTTTTTCAACAACAAAGTGGAGGAGAGTCCTGAGAGACTTAGTGAGCTAAAGGACTCTCTCAGTGTTATCTCAGTGGGTCTCAAACGTTTTGGTCACCATTAATGTAAACAATTATTTCCGAGGCACACGTTTATATGATCATTATAGTTATACAAAAATAAGAGAATAAATGAAAAACTATATGACAGTAAAACAAGAATAAAGTTTAAAAGGGTGATTTGTAAAATATCCATAAAGAAAAAGTCAATCTGTTTACAGTTCTGTTTCAAATGGGTGTTGAGAGAGGTATCCATCGATCTCTTCATGTTGCTCTCAAAGTGCACCAGATTGATGCTTTTAACTTCAATATTTCAAAATAAATCGTCCCGGGGGAGCTTGCCCCCGGACCCCCCTATGTGAGGTCCACACACCACCTATAAAAATAGCACTTTACCCCTGCTTATACCTATATGCCGTGAGCTGATTATCGAGCCTTCATTGTAACTGTCGTGGGGACATTGTGTATGTGCGTGGGGAGTGTTGCAGTAATAATAATAATAATAATAACAAATTCGATTTATAAAGCACCTTTCATTGCTCACAGCAATCCCAAGGTGCTACAGGAGGCATAATAAAAACAAACAAAATAAACAAAAGTTTAATCAAAAGCTTTAAAGTAGAAAGTTCCACTGTAGCAACCGGTACATTAATGGGAAACCCTAAATGTTTGAGCACCCTCTATGAAACGTCAAGCTACCCCACAGCACCCCAAAAATAAATCTCTGGCGCCGTCACTGAGCCTGACTATTTGTGTTGGGGGGGGGCCCGACCTTTTTTTTTCTCCAAAGGGGGGGCCTGACAGAAAATAGTTTGAGAACCACTGGGTTAATGTAAGGAACAGCCATGATGTTTAACTACCACCCAGCCCTTCAGCTTCACTAAATAATGATCTGTTTTTCGAAACCCCAAACAGATCACTGGAGCATTACCCATAATCCCCTCTGTTTCAGCCCTGTTTCCAAAGTGCTGATTCTCTGTCTGTTACTTTAGATGAAAATAAGGAGCCCCTCCCCACGCCCCTCGAAGAGGGGACACATGTTGATGTAGAAGAGACATGAAGAAGAGGGGACACATGTTGATGTAGAAGAGACATGAAGAAGAGGGGACACATGTTGATGTAGAAGAGACATGAAGAAGAGGGGACAAATGTTGATGTAGAAGAGACATGCAGAAGAGGGGACACGTGTTGATGTAGAAGAGACATGAAGAAGAGAGGACACGTGTTGATGTAGAAGAGACATGAAGAAGAGGGGACACGTGTTGATGTAGAAGAGACATGAAGCAGAGGGGACACATGTTGATGTAGAAGAGACATGAAGAAGAGGGGACACGTGTTGATGGAGAAGAGACATGGAGAAGAGGGGACACGTGTTGATGTAGAAGAGACATGAAGAAGAGGGGACACGTGTTGATGTAGAAGAGACATGAAAAAGAGGGGACACGTGTTGATGTAGAAGAGACATGAAGAAGAGGGGACACATGTTGATGTAGAAGAGACATGAGGAAGAGGGGACACATGTTGATGTAGAGAGACATGAAGAAGAGGGGACACATGTTGATGTTAGATAGAATGTTAGAAGAGGACATGAAGAAGATGGGGAAACGTGTTGATGTAGAAGAGACATGAAAGAAGAGGGGACACGTGTTGATGTAGAAGAGACATGAAGAAGAGGGGACACGTGTTGATGTAGAAGAGACATGAAGAAGAGGGACACTTGTTGATGTAGAGAGACATGAAGAAGATGGGGACCAGTGTTGATGTAGAAGAGACATGAAGAGAAGAGGGGAGCACGTGTTGATGTAGAAGAGACATGAAGAAGAGGGGACACGTGTTGATGTAGAAGAGACATGAAGAAGAGGGGACACGTGTTGATGTAGAAGAGACATGAAGAAGAGGGGCAACACGTGTTGATGTAGAAGTGACATGAAGAAGAGGGACACGTGTTGATGTAGAAGAGACATGAAGAAGAGGGGAGACACATGTTGATGTAGAAGAGACATGAAGAAGAGGGGACACATTTGATGTAGAAGAGACTGGAAGAAGAGGGGACACGTGTTGATGTAGAAGAGACATGAAGAAGAAGAAGGAACACGTGTTGATGTAGAAAGAGACATGAAGAAGAGGGGACACGTGTTGATGTAGAAGAGACATGAAGAAGAGGGGACACGTGTTGATGTAGAAGAGACATGAAGAAGAGGGGACATGTGTTGATGTAGAAGAGACATGAAGAAGAGGGGACACATGTTGATGTAGAAGAGACATGAAGAAGAGGGGACACATGTTGATGTAGAAGAGACATGAAGAAGAGGGGACACATGTTGATGTAGAAGAGACATGAAGAGAGGGGACACATGTTGATGTAGAAGAGACATGAAGAGAGAGGGGACACATGTTGATGTAGAAGAGACATGAAGAAGAGGGGACACATGTTGATGTAGAAGAGACATGAAGAAGAGGGGACACATGTTGATGTAGAAGAGACATGAAGAAGAGACAGAAGAGGGGACACATGTTGATGTAGAAGAGACATGAAGAAGAGGGGACACGTGTTGATGTAGAAGAGACATGAAGAAGAGGGGACACGTGTTGATGTAGAAGAGACATGAAGAAGAGGGGACACGTGTTGATGTAGAAGAGACATGAGAAGAGGGGACACGTGTTGATGTAGAAGAGACATGAAGAAGAGGGGACACGTGTTGATGTAGAGAGACATGAAGAAGAGGGGACACATGTTGATGTAGAAGAGACGTGAAGAAGAGGGGACACATGTTGATGTAGAAGAGACATGAAGAAGAGGGGACACATGTTGATGTAGAAGAGACGTGAAGAAGAGGAGACACATGTTGATGTAGAAGAGACATGAAGAAGAGGGGACACATGTTGATGTCGAAGAGACATGAAGAAGAGGGGACACATGTTGATGTAGAAGAGACATGAAGAAGAGGGGACACATGTTGATGTAGAAGAGACATGAAGAAGAGGGGACACATGTTGATGTAGAAGAGACATGAAGAAGAGGGGACACGTGTTGATGTAGAAGAGACATGAAGAAGAGGGGACACATGTTGATGAAGAAGAGACATGAAGAAGAGGGGACACATGTTGATGTAGAAGAGACATGAAGAAGAGGGGACACATGTTGATGTAGAAGAGACATGAAGAAGAGAGGGGACACATGTTGATGTAGAAGAGACACATGAAGAAGAGGGGACACATGTTGATGTAGAAGAGACATGAAGAAGAGGGGACACATGTTGATGTAGAAGAGACATGAAGAAGAGGGGACACATGTTGATGTAGAAGAGACATGAAGAAGAGGGGACACATGTTGATGTAGAAGAGACATGAAGAAGAGGGGACACATGTTGATGTAGAAGAGACATGAAGAAGAGGGGACACATGTTGATAGAAGAGACATGAAGAAGAGGGGACACATGTTGATGTAGAAGAGACATGAAGAAGAGAGGGGACACATGTTGATGTAGAAGAGACATGAAGAAGAGGGGACACATGTTGATGTAGAAGAGACATGAAGAAGAGGGGACACATGTTGATGTAGAAGAGACATGAGAAGAGGGGACACATGTTGATGTAGAAGAGACCTGAAGAAGAGGGGACACATGTGATGTAGACGGAGACATGAAGAAGAGGGGACACATGTTGATAGTAGAAGAGCATGAGAAGGAAGGGGGCCACGTGTTGATGTTAGAAAGACATCGAAGAAGAGGGGACCACATGTTGATGTAGAAGAGGACATGAGAAGAGGGGACACGTGTTGATGTAGAAGAGACATGAAGAAGATGGGGACACATGTTGATGTAGAAGAGACATGAAGAAGAGGGGACACGTGTTGATGTAGAAGAGACATGAAGAAGAGGGGACACGTGTTGATGTAGAAGAGGACATGAAGAAGAGGGGACACGTGTTGATGTAGAAGAGACATGAAGAAGAGGGGACACATTGTTGATGTAGAA